CTAGTAAAAGTTTCACCACATAACTTTTTATAAGATATAAAAATTGAGATTACAAACTTTTTTAGTATTTACTGGAAATTTCACAATGTGTGTTTTGGAATTTGTATTATTTTTTATTGAATAAAAATTTATTTGGACTCTGAAAAAATTGTGTTATATGATAAAAGTCTTAAAATATTATTATACATAATCTCTAGTAATTTGATTATTTTATGAAAATATTAAATTTCTCCTAATAGGGTTTTCTATTGCGTATCATTAGAGAAAACTGTGCAATTTTGACACATGCTCAATTACGCTTCAATTATTATAATATGATAAAAAATGTGCATATGTAATTAAATAATATATGCTAGGAGTCATAAGGGACCAGAATTCTTTGAACTAATTATTCTATTTTATAAAGCTCAACTAATTACAATATAATTACACTAAATTTTATTCTACCTATTTAAAATTTAGCTAATATTATTAAAAGTAACAAAAAATCTAATATAATCTCTTTTTAAAATTTTAATAGTAATTTATAATAATAATATTTATGTATAACAAAAAATCTTCTTGATTAGGCACGAATCTTGAGGCATATTCATGATGAAAAATTATAATATTAAATTCAGGATCATCTGAACTCCAATTTCAACAAACTTTAGTCAAAATGATCGCATCGATAAGACAAACTCAACGACACTAAAATTGGTTCTATTCGAGCCTAAATGATCCTAAATCAGGGGCTACAAACATATTTGGATGCTTCGAAACATTAAATGTACAACCACATAGTCTCAAATTTGACATTTTTATAACCAAATTGAGCGGCTTGACGAAACAAATCTAATAAGCACATGATCGCTTAATTCTGCAACATTAAAGGACTTAAAATGCAGAATAAGCGTTCTATGATCGTGGGGATCAATATGGGTCATCCGATGGAGCACCTTAAATTTGCCCCAAATCATCTTCATATTTATGAGGAATGTCACTCTCACAAATATATAAATAGACCCTCGCTTCTCATATGGCGTGAGGCTTGGACATTCGGCTAGAGATTCAAGAAAGCTTTAGATTTTGAAGAATCCAGAAGCTCCAACCGAGCACCACCATCAGCAAATCCTCGGCACATGGCCATCGCCGGCGAATCCTCGTCGCTTGGTCATCATTTATCAATCGTTGCTGGTTGTCAACCCGGCCTCCACCATAGAATCTCTACCCGACCATTATTACCATCTCTATGCTTGGCTGATGCCATTTGATCTCTGTTGCCTGACTATAGTCCTCCAATCACTATCACTCAACTACTATCTTTTGACCTTGATCTCTCGCCTACAATGATCCTCTGACCTCACTCGCTCAACTATGATCCTCAAATAGTCGCCATCCAACCACAGTTCTTGCGACCTAGGTAGCCAACCAACTATAATTCTCAGACCACGGCATCTAATTACACTAAATTTTACTCTACCTATTAAAATTTAGCTAATATTATTAAAAGTAACAAAAAATCTAATATAATATCTTTATAAAATTTTAATAGTAATTTTTAATAATAATATTTATGTAGAACAAAAAATCTTCTTGATTGGGCATGAATCTTGAGGCATAATCATGATGAAAAATTCTAATATTAAATTAAGGATCATCTGAACTCCAATTTCAACAAACTTTAGTCTATATGATCGCCTCGATAAGACAAACTCAATGACACTAAAATTGGTTCAATTTGAGCCTAAATGTTCCCAAATAAGGGGTTACAAACATATTTGGATTCTTAGAAACATTAAATGTACAACCACAAATCTTCAAATTTGACATTTTTATAACCAAATTGAGCACTCGATAAAACAAATCTAATACGCACATGATCGCTTAATTCTGCATCATTAAGGGACTTAAAATGCAGAATATGAAGAGTATATAAAATAAACATCCAATGTGCTTAAAACATAAATTCAAATCATCAAAATAATCATATATAAAAATCTTGATCCCAAAAATGCCACACAAAAGATAAATGTTATTAATTCTAAAACATAAATACCTAAAGACCCAATTTCTTTGCTTTCTATCGAACCGAATCTACTCAACAATATATATACTCTTGCTTGAAATGATATAACAAAAACAATGTGAGTCTATGACTCCGTATATATAAACCCAATTTTCATCAACATTTAGTTCAAATTATAAAAATACATAAAAGATTACGATTACATATTAGAAATAGTTGTAAACCAAAGATCGTAAAATATCATTTATTTAACAATGCATTTGTAATTGTTTGCAAATGCGTTGATGCCCCTTATATCTCCCAATCTTCCACCTCCTGCCTAGTCACCCAGGTGCAAAGCAAAGCCAACTCGATCCCACATGCTCAAGACAGGAGCAGAGCAAAAAAAAAAAAATCAATACAAAATAACTTCTAATACAAAGAGTTATTAATATAGAGTGTTTCCAATACAAAGTGGTTCTTGTACAAAATATTTATAATACAAAATACTTTCACTTTGGGCCCAATTTCCTTTCTATTCAAAACTCCAAACATGAAGTGCATGTAGAATGCAATTATAAACTATAATACAAATTCTATAAAAATCAAATCATGACCTTTCTTATATAGGAAAAAACTCCCACTTTTTTAGTTATCAATACAGAATCTCAAAACTTTATTGGATTTACAAAGCTTTTAGAAGATATTAAAATAACATACTTTCTTGACATTACTATCATTCAGAAGTGTATCAAATTTCCAAAATCACCAAAAATCAATGTAGAAGATACCAAACGGTGGAAACTTGCATTCTTATACTAAAATCATTCAAAACAAAAAATAAAACAACATATAAAAAGTTACAATGTGAAACTTTTTTATAATTTAAGAAATATACCTTTAAAAGCATGATTCTCAATTTACTTCCGAAGTGAAAATAGAAATGAGAAATGGGTTGCCTACCTCGAGCATGATGATTTCCCAAGGTGGGCTGACGAACAAAAATTAGATTTCAGAATCTAAATCTAAGTTTTCTCCTTCTCTTTCCTTTCTCCCCTTTTCTTCCTTCTTGTTTATAAGGGTCATGGCTAGTGACTTCAGATATTTATTATTTTAAAAAGTATTAACTCGTTAGAACGCCCACAAGTTTTTTATAAGTCTAAGTTACTCATTCAACACATTACGTCACACAAAGCATTAGAGGCCGAAGTAGGCACTAAGAAATGGTGATGAGGAAAAGCAATAGTAAAGAAGAAATGGAGAAGATGAAAAGAAAACTCTAGATTAATTAAGATAGTTAGTAATTAAAAATTATAACAAATACTTTAATTAATATAATTTGAAATATATATAACTATTATATAGCATTATAAATAATAATTAAATGATGTTAAATTATTTAAATAATTAATGAGATAATTAAGCAAATTAAAAATATAATTAATAATTAAATTTAAATAATATTAAAAAAACTAATTAGATTATTAATAGGAGTATTAGTTTAATAATTTATTATTTTAAAAAATAATTAACTAATTAATTAGGTAATTACTAATATAATTAAAAACCAAATACTTTTTTTTGGAACATTTAAGCCAATTAAGCTAAACTCACATATGCATCATATATACAAGGCTCAAACCCAAGACCTTTTGCTTGGTAGCCCAATCCATGGGCGGAGGGAGGGGGGACACGTGCCCCCTCCCCCTAAAAAAATTACTTAGACCAATGGCATAAGCCCATATATAGAACTTAAGCATCCATTATGGTACAACCCCTTGTGAGTTTCATTTTATTTATTACATGCTTTTTCCATTTCAAGTATTCAATCCACCTACTTGGATCATGCAATGCTTCAGCTGTAGAAAGAGAAAGACTAATGTGGTAAAGTATTGAAAGAGAGTGGGAGGAATGACTTTCCGTTGTGGACGGAATAATGAGAAGATATTTTGGTCAACAAGAGGAATAATTGTTTTAGTGGCTAAAGCTAAAACTGAAAGTCTAAAGAGGCTTAAAGCTGATTGTTTTAGTGGCTTAACAGAGCAACAAGTTCGCTAACGAGGAAACTTACTCTAATTTTTGTAATTCTTTCTTTTTAAATTATTTATTAATCCAAAGAAGCCACTAACATCTTTTTTTGGATACATAAAAAATAATCAATGGTTCGTTTTCTCCTTTGCTCCTCTCTTGAGACTCACGACCGTGAGCACGACTTTCGTTTTCCCTTTCGCTCCTCTCTCGCCCCCAAACGAATACCGCCCGTGACAGATGTTTATGTCTTGTAAGCTCTAAGGGTCATATTATTTGCATCTCCTTTTGGATTTAATAATGAGACGAAAAACATAACTATTTTAATGTATTCTAACCTTCTAAATGAGACGTCAAAAAGAATTATTTTAATTTAGATCCCCTTAAATAAAATTTCTGACTATGCCTCAAACGAACAAATCAAAATGAGTTACATAAATATCAAATACTTATTAAATTAACATCTAAGCAAGTAATTTAATAAATAATACTATCATTAGTAATTAAATTATTTAATAATTAAGTTAATTTTAATTAAGTTATTTTTACTATAACTTATTAACTTTAATTAAAATGAGAATTAATAAGTAATTTATATGTATCAACTAATTAAATTCTTAACATATTAATTTTAATTTTTAAATGGACCAACCGTCTAAATTCTGAATTATATTTCCAAATAATTTTATAAAATTTAATAAGGTTTAGCAATGATTTTTTCAAATAATTTTTATGATTTAACATACTCAAAATTTATTAAATTCTGAATTTAAAGAATTTATTAAAACCTAATAAAATTAAATCCTATTTTTTAAAGAGTCTCTAAAGAATTCAAACAAAAGAAAAGATTAATTAAAATAACATTATTTTTGTTTGAGCGCTCGCGTCACATCAGTCACAGGGCCATCAACCGTTGCAGCTGGAAGTCGCGGGTGAGCAAGCGTTCCTTCCACGTATGTTCTCTTTTTAGTCCACTGCAGCATATCCTTCCAGTCTTTCACCATGCTTTCCATACCCTCTCTCTCTTCTCTTCCCCCGAGTTCTTCCAAGGAGGAGAACAAGAAGAGCTCCGGAGAAACACTGAAGGAAGCATTCGCATGGCGAACTGGGCTGTGGTCGTCACGCTGCTACTGTCGGCAGTTGCCGTCGGTGAAGGATGCGGCGGCGGGGCCGCATGTTCAGCTGTCCCGTCGACGCTTGACGGGCCCTTCGCGCCAGTGACGGTGAGGCTTGACGACGAGGCTTTTCGAGGTGAAGCCGTTGACTTACCGGAAACCGATCCGCGGGTGGTCAGGCGGGTGAGGGGTTTCGAGCCGGAGCAGATTTCTGTGTCCCTCTCCGCTACCGCCGATTCCGTCTGGATATCTTGGGTCACAGGCATGAAATTTCTCTGTTTGATCTCGGCATTTGTCGAAATGTACTTTTGAAAAGTTGTAGAAGCGGGTTGTGTTTCATTAGTTTATATTTATAATTAAAGATATTTTTATTGGTTTTTATGTATGGTTGTGCGGTTATGATTGTTGTTAAAATGAGGATTCTATTTTTTTCCCCCTAGTATGTTTATTTTAAACAGCATTAAGATCTTCAATGCTTGCTTATCTTATGTTTTCTTAGCTGAATGGATTAGTTACGAGATTCTAGTGTGTTGCGGTTTTCTTATTTTGCTGTATTTGGTGAGAAAGTGAATGTTTCTGCATTGTTTCTTGGAATTGGTATGCTGTGTACATACATTTGTTCTGTTTAATTGGGGAGACAACTTTGGTTATGCTTATTGAACTAATGGAAATTGTTTGGGGACAGCTTTTTTGTTAGATATTCTGATAAGGATGAGCTTTTAATTTAATTGGAACGGAATGTTAAACTTCGTTGTGGTTGGTAAGGATGGTATTGTGCTGTCTTTTTCAGAGTGATACAGTTTTTTATTAATTGTAAAATTTTCTCAGTTATGAATCTTATTGTTGTGATTCTTAAAGGATTGTGTGTTTATCCGATCCTTTGAAGTTAAAGGTTTTTGGTTTGCTGTTTTGAATTTACTACTGATTTCTCAGAGAATCAACTCGAAAAAATTGATGATAATGTGCTTTTGACAGTTTTTCTTTTGATGATCTGCAGGTGATTACCAAATGGGTAATGACATTCAACCTTTGGATCCTGCAAAGGTTGCAAGTATCGTTCGTTATGGAAGATTGCGCCATCACTTAGCTTGGAAAGCTACGGGCCATTCACTTGTTTATAGTCAGATTTATCCATTCAAAGGCATGCAGAATTACACATCTGGAATAATCCACCATGTTCGCCTTACAGGTAGATAGACATTGCATATTTTTCTTGCTAGGCTTTCAAATTTTATTTAATAGTTCCCTCTATGCAGAGTAGTTTCACTGTTTTGTTCTATTGTTTAGATTTCTTTGTTATTCTATTTATTCTGTGTTAACGTTGCTCATGTCGGAAGGCAAGTGAGCAACAATTTCTTGTGATATTCTATTTATTATGTGATAATGTTGCTTATGCAGGAAGGCAACAGTTTCGTTAGACCATTAAGTTATATAATGTTCCATACACTAGCGTCTGACTTCACTGAATAACTGCTCCTTTTCACCAAGGCTTGCATGTTTATCTGATTAACTGAATTTTAAAGTAGCTTTTGGAGTCTTATACTTGCACACATTATCATATTGTTAGCTGCGTTTCAGTTATTTTTTATCAGTTATGATTGAGTGCTAGCAATAACTAATTGTTCACTCCTATCGTAGTAAATTTTCATATGCAAACTCATAATAAAGTTCTACAAGAAAATTCTAGCTTGAGGAAAAGTGTCCTCTCTATGAGAAAATTTCTATGGTCACAGCATTTACTTGGACTTAAACACTGGAGTTTTTAATTCTGAACTTCTAAACATGAGTACAGTAAGCTGCAAAAGGATTTGAAGGATATTGCATTTAACTTGTCTTTAGTTCATATTATTGGTCTTTGCCTTTGAAGATACATTGCTTTGCATATTGAAGGCCCTCTAGTATTCTTGAGAGAGTATTGAGGTTAGTCCCAAATTGGATAGTTAAAAAATATATTGGTGTAAAATATCAAATATTTGGCACTTATAAATCTTATGGGTTAAAATCAAATATGACTACTAGTGTATCAGGCTCAAATTTAGTTCCCTTTTGGTCCACTATCTTTTGCAAATGTATCAGAGTCAATGACTTTGCTAAAATTGAATGGTTCAAACAATTTGTGGCTCATGTTGGTCTTTTTGCATTCTACCATGGTTAGGCAAACTGCACAAATGTATAAGAGTCGATGACTTTGCTAAAATTGAGTGGTTCAAACAATTTGTGGCTCATGTCGGTCTTTTTTGCATTCTACCATGGTTAGGCAAAGTGCAAAACTGGCCGACTTCCATGATAGCTCCACGTGGTTGGGTGAACCCTTGTTGACTGATATATGATATTGAAATAAGAACTTACATTTGACTATATGGGATGCCTGACTTGGAGAGCTCTCTTGCAAGAGGGAAACTGTTAAGGCATAGAGAATATTGATTTACTTACACATCTGATAGTTAATATGTTGGTGTAGAAATACCAAATGATACTATATGACATAACCAAAGAATCTTTTTGGATGCTACTCATATATTATTAAAAGAGAAAATGATCAAAATGGTTCATTGAATCTTTATGATAGACATAAATGATCTCCAACTATATTAAATGACTATTTTGGTCCTTAATATCTTTAAAAATGAATCAAAATAATTTTATGGTGGGACCATTTTTGTTCCTCTTTAAAGAGTTGAAGGCCAAAATAACTCTTTAGTATAGTTGGGTAGTATTTTGATCTTTCATAAAGAGTCAATGAATCATTTTAGTTATTTTCTCATTATTAAAATAACATTCAAAGCTTTCAGTACTTTATGAAGTGCCCAAAGAACCTTTTTAGGCGCTTCTTACATAATATTTGTCCAAAGTCTAGCTAGTTGAACATTACATCGTCAAATCTATTTTTTCTTTGCACATTTGAAATGCAACTTTGAAATGCACATTTTCAAACGATCATACCTTTTCATCCTTGAATTAGATTTTTTTGCTGGTTTTTGCAATAATAATCAAATTTATCTTGTATGGGTTGCAGGACTTGAGCCAAGTACCCGTTATTTCTATCGGTGTGGAGACCCTTCAATACCAGCATTGAGTACCACACATGAGTTCAGAACAATGCCCGTTTCAGGTCCTAAGAGCTATCCAAAAAGAATTGCAGTTGTCGGGGATCTTGGCCTTACTTATAATACAACTTCAACAGTGGATCATATGAAAAGTAACAAACCTGATCTGATCTTATTGTTGGGGGATGTTACTTATGCGAACTTGTATTTAACAAATGGAACTGGGTCAAAGTGCTACTCTTGCTCATTTCCAAATACCCCAATACATGAGTCCTACCAACCTAGGTGGGACTACTGGGCAAGGTAAAGATTATTGAAACACTATATTATTGATCTCCCTTTCTCATATAGTAATATGTAAAGATTAGAACCTTTATGGCTTCCTTTCAATTTACCTATTTGTATGTTAGAAAGATTTGTTTGACTTCATAATAATGATGTCAATCTAGATATCATTATATTGGTCTTAACCATAATTAGTCTTCTTAAGGGTGTACCTGGTGATTCATACTACTACCATTAGGGGTATAGATGGGGTAGATATATGCAACATTACCTTTGCATTGCAGGGGAGCAATGCTCTTGGGTATTTCTAGGTTCACACGGAGGCAACCTAATCCTTCCAAGCTCTCCTTCAAACAAGAAACTTGTGGCTTGTGTGATGTTTTCGGACTTTTAATATGTTTAATTCTGCTTTTGACATTCAACGAAAATTTTTCCTTAATTAAATGTATCATTTTCAAAATTTTCAGGTTTATGGAACCTACAGTGTCAAAAATTCCAATAATGGTGATAGAAGGAAACCATGAGGAAGAAGAACAGGTGGGCGACAAGACTTTTGAAGCTTATAGTTCAAGATTTGCATTCCCAAATAAAGAAAGTGGATCAGACTCCACATTTTACTACTCCTTCAAGGCTGGAGGAATACATTTTGTCATGCTTGGTGCATACATTTCCTACAATAAGTCAGGTAAGCTTAAGTTGCTAGTTCTTTTACTTTTCTGTTGAATATATTCAATGATATTCATATTATAGACCACTTTTTCTACCTTTGAGGCATATGGATGTAGACACACATATGGAATGCGTTTCATTGGCATGTACATCCTTTGTGTTCTTGTTCTAATCCCATATGCATCTTGTAATGCTTGCTGTTTAGGATTTCTATATTCCAAGACATGATAGCTATCCCAGAAAAGAGCAAGCTAATGGGCAACCAACTAAGTTTGTTACACAAGATACTGAAGATATAATATAGATGTCCAATCCTGATCGTGATTATCTTGATCTTTTATGTGTCCTTTTTATATTGAAAACTTGTTGAAGTTTCATCTTCCTGTTGTATAATGTGTTATGATGGAAATTTGGCATTTATCAATAATGTTTTTGATTCATCCAACATACATATGCAATATGTCATAATCTTCTTACCTTGCAATAAATTCAAAACCTCAATCTCTCTTGGAGTTTGGACCATAAGGTTGATTGTTAAATTAAGTTGCATTTAAAGTCATAACACATTTTTTTATTCAATGAAACCCTTTTCCCTCATTACCCTTTTTTTACACTTTCCTTTCCAGACTCTCCAAGCATCCATACACACTTTCATTTTTGCCAACAATGTTTATCGGCAACACCTTATTTTGTTCATGACAGGAGATCAGTACAAGTGGCTGCTAAGGGATTTGGCATCTGTAGATAGAAGAGTTACCCCTTGGTTGATTGCAACTTGGCATCCACCCTGGTATAGTACATATAAAGCCCATTATAGGGAGGTGGAGTGCATGAGGGTGGAAATGGAAGAACTACTATACTCATATGGTGTTGACATTGTCTTCAATGGTCATGTAAGTTTCTTGTCATTACTCTTGTTGTGATGTTGTTTGTCTTAAACCCATCGTTTTATGTTGCTATTAACTTCTTACGGAACAAGCTTTGCTAGTTTTAGGAAGTGAGGGATCGATCTTAATCCACTAATTATTTAAATGAAGTTTTTGGTTTGCCTTTAAGGTTTAAGCTTATTCCCTAGTGAAGTAAAAAATTGTCCTTTACGACCATGGGCGTATAGTTTGGAGATCTCATTATTAATTGTGGCCACTCGGGTCATCTTTTTGCATAACTCCTGAACTTGAAGATCACTTCACAATTTCCACAACTTTTAAACTTAGCTATTGAACTTGAAGATCTCCTTTTTGTGGTGTAACTGTTAGCTAGGGAGAATTCAGCCCTCCTTGTGGGGCGCAAGAAAACTATAATGCATTATGTCAGAAGGAGAAATTTTGGGAGAGATAATTAGGAAGGTTTTTATGATAATTGTGAGGAAATTATTTAGGGAAGGAGTTCCAAATTGAGGAGAAATCTATGGAGAGATAATTAGGAAGTTTTTAATGATAATTATGAGGAAATTATTTAGGGAAAGAGTTCAAAATTGAGAGGGAATTAATTCGAGGCTGATTTGGGAGGGAAGTATGTGATCCTAATGAAGGCTCACTATGTATTATTTTCGGTTCATGCAAATTATTTGATGTTGTAGTTTGTTTTTTTGTGAGTTTCCTAGCGACGTCTAGGACTTGTGGGAGAGCTGATCTATAGATCACTTGTCTCTTTCTTTCTTATTGAAGAAAAAAACAAAAGTCATTCTCTATCTTCAAATTCCTACATTTTTCTACTTTTCTCTTGCTTTTTTTTTACTTCCTAAATGTATCATTGGTATCAGAGCGAGATTTTGGAGAGATAGCAGCAAAGAAGTTGGATATTTTGGAAGGCGAATTGGAGAAAATCAAGTCTGGGATGGATGAAAGGTTATCCACCATGGAAGAAAGATTTTCAACGATGGAGAATCGAATAGAGAGCCGATTTGGAGGGATGGAGAAGATGATGAGGAAGCTCATGGAGATGCAATCCAAAACTCCACCAACGGTTCCGTGTGCTAACCCTCACCACGATTTGACCGATATTCCCTCGGCCGAAGTTAAAGGGAAGAGATCGACGGGAAGAGTTCGATGAAGAGAGTTCTTTTCATCAAGAGGGACGAAATAGGAATTTCGGATGGGGGGACAACAAGATGGGAGTTTTATGTTAGAAGGGGTAGGGTGACTGACCACTATAGGATGTCGTTTGAGCAAGGAGAGTGAAAAACTGGAGAAGGAGCTAGACAAGCAGAGCCATGGAATCGGATCATGGTAGGTGGATGGAAGAAAGGTGGGATTCCCACCCTTGTTACACGGGGGGAACCCATGGAAAATGTGGAAGTTGGGGTGGAGAAGCGAAGGTGAGGAAGGGAATGATGCCCATGGGTGGGTATACCAAGTTGAGAGATATTTTGTGGTGAATGGGTTGAGAGAGGAGGTGAAGCTTACAACCGCAGGGTTATGTCTAAAGGGGAAAGCCTTCGCTTTGTTTTAGTGGAGAGAGGCTAGATATTTGATCCATTCGTGGGATGAGTTTAAGGATTGCTTGTTGGAACTTTTTCGAGCCATTGAGGAAGGAGACCTACACGAGCAATTCCTTACCTTGACTTAGGAGGGGACTGTCATGGGGTACAAGGAGATATTCGAGTTGTTGTTGTGATTGTTGAGGGGAATTTTAGAGGCAATATTAGAGAAAAATTTCATGAAGGGGCTCAAGCACGACATATAAGTGGACTTTCTATTACTGAGATCGAGAGAATTGAGGGAGACAATGGAGCTAGCTCAGATAGTGGAGGATCATAGACCGATGGAGAGGAGTAGTAAGAGCGCGGTTGCGAGAGGCTCTTACAGGAGTACCTCAACTTCACTGGAACTAAGGACCCACCAGATCATGTCATTTCAGTGGGAAGCACCGAGGGATAAAGGTGGGGGGATTCACCTCGGGGCCAGCTTCAAGTGCCTCACATAATTAGAGGTGCAGGACAAGAGAGCGTAAGGTCTGTGCTTTCACTGTGATGAAAAGTATGTATTAGGTCATCGGAGCAAGGACCGCACACTCCAGTTTCTTATGGTTTGCAAGGAGGAAGAGACCGATAGTGAGGATATGGTGGAGGAAGTAGAAGGAAGGGAGCATCTACACCTTGATATGGTGGAAGTGCCCCTGAATTCTATGGTGGGATTTACTCTAAATCACACCATGAAAGTGAGGGGAAAGATCGGGGAGCAACCAGTGGTGGTCTTGATGAATAACAGGGCTACTCATAACTTCATCTTCAACTGGATTGTAAACCTGTTGGAATTCAAATTGGTGATAGAAGAAGCTTTGGATTCATGATGAGAATAAGAAAGGTAGAGAGGAGTAGGGCGATTTGCAGGAGATTGGTGCTAGCACTCCAGGGCATACAGATAGTGGAAGATTTTCTTCCTTTGGATTTGGGGAGCACTGATGTAATCTTAGGGATGAAGTAGTTACAGATGATCGGGGAGACCAAGGTAGACTAGAAGTCCTTGACTGGAGATTTCGATGGATGGGAAGAAGGTGGTGTTGCGAGGGGAAGCTAGCCTATGCAGAATTATGGTTTCATTCAAAATCATGGTCAAGGCGATAAAGGGGGCAAAGCTGTGCTATTTGGTAGAGCTACAAAGCTTGGAGGGGATATGAGATTTTTGAGGTAAACAATGTTCCTGAATGTATACATCAGTTTTTGCAAAAGTTTCATGAGGTTTTTCAGCAGGCTAGCTGGTGACCGCCACCCTGAGAGCACAAGCATGTTATTACCTTGAAAGAGGGAGCTTCACATATTAGTGTCTGACCGTACTAGTATCTATAGATTCAGAAGGATGAGATAGAGGCTCATTAGGGAGATGCAGGAGGAAAGGATTACCCGACCTGGTGTGAGCCCCTTTTCCAGCCTAGTTACTAGTGTAAAAGAAGGACAACATATAGAGATTTTGTGTAGACTATAGGACCCTAAATAAGAAATCTGTGCTGATAAGTTTTTTATTCTCGTGATTGATGAGCTATTGGATTAGCTATTTGGGGCGGTCATCTTCTCAAAGACTGACCTAAAATTAGTATACTGCAAAATCAGAATGAAACCTGTGGATGTGCAGAAGACTACTTTTAGGATTCATGAGAGTCAGTAGAGTTTTTGGTGATGCCTTTCAGCCTTATCAATGCTCCAACCACTTTTCAGTCTCTTATGAATCAGGCTTTTCAACCCTGTCTTAGAAAGTTTATCTTGGTGTTTTTTTATGACATCCTGACTACAGTCGTATGGAGACAAAACATGTTGGTCACCTGAGGACTATGTTGGAGATGTTGAGGGAGCACGAGTTGTATGCCAACATGAAGAAATGTTCGTTTACATAGCCACATGTAGAGTATGTGGGATATGTGGTGAGCAAAGCAGGAGTAGCAGCAAATAAGTCCAAGATTGAGGCTATGTTGGATGGCCTTTAACTAAGAACCTGAGGGAGCTACGAGGGTTTTTAGGCCTCACTGGGTACTACCGAAAGTTTGTGCAAGAGCATGACATAATAACATGGCCATTGATTGAGCAACTAAATAAAGACAATTTCAATTGGGGGGGAGGTAACGACATGGGCTTTGGAGCAGCTAAAGAAAACCATGACCTATGTGCCAGTGGTAGCACTTCCTGACTTCAGCAGGCAATTTGTGGTAAAGACAGATGCATCAGGATACGAGCTAGGAGTATTACTCATGCAGGATCATTGGCCCATTAGCCATTGCTTATTTTAGTCGGATGCTCACTACCAGGGCGAGGCTCAAGTTCGTATACGAGCGAGAGTTGATCGTGATTGTTTTGGCCATCTAAAAGTGGCAACCCTATTTGTTGGAATGGCATTTTATTGTTAGGACATACCAGATGAGCTCGAAGTTTCTACTGGAGCTGAGGATAGTGATTGAGAAGCACTAGAGGTGGTTGTCCAAGTTATTGGGATATGACTTCGAGATTCAATATCATCCAGGACTAGAGAATAAGGCCGCAGATGCACTATCACGAAAGATGGATGAGCCACAATTGACAACTCTGTCAGTACCTATGGTTTAAATTGGGAAGATCTAAAACAGGAGAGCGAGGATGATGAGGGACTAAAGAAGATCAGGGCCAAGTTGTTGCTGAACCTAGACAGTCATCCCGTTTACACTTTGAGAGGAGCCTAACTAGTACATCAGGGGAGATTCATTTTGCTACGGGGGTCGGGATATATCCCCAAGTTGTTGCACGAGTTTCGTGGCAGCATTGTGGCTAGACATTCAGGGGCTCGGAAGACCTACAGTCAAGTTTCTGCGAAAATATATTGGGTGGGGATGCGCCGTGATGTAGAGGATTGAATAGCGAGACATGATGTGTGCCATAGGAACAAGTACTTAGTCATGAATCTAGTAGGGTTACTACAACCTCTAGCTCATCCGGAGAGAGTATGGGAGGAAGTGACGATGGCTTTCATTAAGGGATTGTCATGTTCGGAGGGATTTTCGGTGATACTGGTAGTAGTGGATCGTCTGAGCAAATATGCACACTTCATCCCTATGAAACACCCTTACACCTCAGTCTTTGTGGCTACTACTTTCATATGAGAGGTGGTGCGCTTGCATGGATTTCCAAAGTCCATTGTGTCGGTTGGAGACAATGTGTTCCTTAGTTATTTCTAAAGGAGTTGTTTGTTTATATGGAATAGTCCTAAAGAGAAGCATATCATATCATCCTCAGATAGATGGCCAGACAGAGGTGGTCAACAGAAGTGCAGAGACCTTTTTGAGATGCTTCATATCAGATATGCCGAAGAGTTGGGCAAAGTAAATTGCTTGGGCCGAATACTGGTATAAAACCTCATACCATCCATCAGCACAAACTACCTCTTTTAGGATTCTCTCTGGGAGAGATCCACCTCATTTGATTTATTATGGACATAGCCCTACACTAGCATCCAGTGTAGATCAATACTTAGAGGAGAGGGATAGAGCATTATTTGAGCTCAAGGGACATCTGTTGAGAGCCCAACAAATCATGAAAAGGAATGCTTGTGAGCATAGTAGAGAAGTACTCTTCGAGCCAGGAGAAATGATTTACTTAAAGCTAAGGCCCTACAAGCATAAGACACTAGCCAGGAAGAGGATGATAAATTGTCCCCACGATACTTTGGGCCTTATGAAGTTTTAGAACACATTGGAGTAGTGGCCTATTGACTAAGGAAACCACCTTCATCCGCATTGCACCTAGTCTTTCATGTCTCACAGTTGAGGAAGGCGATAGGATATCACACACCATCTTCACTACCCCGGACTTAGACAGAAGACATGGAGGTCATTTTGGAACCTCTAGGAGAAGAAGGTGTGCGTAGAGAAGAAACAGGGGCACAAGAAGTATTAATCAAGTGGAAGGATTTGCTAGAGCACTATGCTACGTAAGAGCCATACGAGACGATCGGTGGATGGTTCCTATCCTTCCACCTTGAGGACAAAGTGCATCTTTGGGGGTTGAGTATTGTTACGTGCAGGGAGAATTCAGCCCCCCCTTGTTGGGCATAAGAAAATTATAATGCACTATGTTTGAAGAAGAAATCTAGGGAGAGATAATTAGGAAAGTTTTTATTCTAATTAGGGAAAGAGTTCAAAATTGAGAAAAAAATAAAGAATTAATTAAGGAAAGGAGGTTGATTTAGGAGGGAAGTAGGGGAGCCTATTTAAGACTAACTATGCATTATTTTTAGTTCATGCAAATTGTTTTATGCTGTAGTTTCATTCTTGTGAGTTTCCTAGCGACATCTAGGATTTGTGGGAGAGCCGATCTACCTCTCGAATAATAGATCATTTGTATCGTTCTTTCTTGTTAAAGAAATAAGCAAAAATCAGTCTCTATCTTCAAGTTCCTACAATTTTCTACTTGTTCTCTTGCTATTTTTACTTCCAAGTCGCATTAGTAACATGATTGATAGCATTGGTCGAAATGCACTCTTTTTATGCAAAGAAAGAATACATTGTTATTAACTAACATTTAGATGATTTCTAATTCTAACTGTTAATTCGCTCTTTAATGCCAGGTGCATGCTTACGAGAGATCAAATCGGGTTTATAACTACACATTGGATCCTTGTGCTCCCATTCACATTATGGTTGGAGATGGCGGAAACCGGGAGAAGATGGCAGTAAATCATGCAGATGACCCTGGCCACTGCCCTGATCCAGCAACAACCCCAGATGATATGGGTGGCTTCTGCGCCTTTAACTTCACAAGTGGACCAGCTGAGGGCAAGTTCTGCTGGGACCATCAACCTGATTACAGTGCTTATAGAGAAAGTAGCTTTGGTCATGGAATTTTAGAGGTATAATCAGCATACTCACTATGTCATTTTAAGAATTGATACCTTTATATTTAGTGTATCCTTTAGAGTTTATAAGAACTTTGATTTGATAGATAAACAACTACTGTTACTATTTAAAGCTTGTTAAACTGAAGAATGAGAATTGCTTATTGCTCTATTTTAATGGAGAATTATTTAAAATGGACCTTAGTTTGGAGATAAACAATGATAGAATGTAGAAAGAGAAGCAAATGAGGGGTGAAAGTAGATGTTAAAAAACTTTATGTTTGCTTACAGCTCATTTCGTCTCAATAATTGTTTATACTTAGCTTGTTCGTTAAGCATATAAGTCTAGCTTGAATTAGACTTTTCAGCTTGTTTTGTAAATAAGCCAAATATAAACAAGCACTTAGGTATATTATGTTTGGCGTGATAAGAGCTCGATATGTTACATAAGTATGACACACACGTTAACAAAATGAAATACTCAAAATCGGTTTTACTTATTTACCTATAAAAGTCATCGAATATAGTTTAAAATCATAGAAAACACATGTGTTAGATATTATTCCAGATTTTTAGGTTTGTTTTTGTATAGGTTTTTTGTATGATATATGTAGCCATTTGTGGAGCTATTTGTATAGTCTTTAGGAGTCTTTAAATAAGTGTGTTTAGGCCTGTAATAGGCAGCCAAGGAAATAAGAATTTGCTGAGTTTGACTCACGGTTTCCCCCTCCTCTCTCCCTCCTCTCTCCCTCCTCTCTCAAGATCCGGTGGAAGTTCTTCTTCCACAAGGAAAGGATCTCACAACATGTTTTTTACTTTCATGGTACTTAAAAATGTTGTATTACAAAAATGATTTATTTTTTTCATACGGAATCAGAGCCATGAAGGAATAAGTTATTGAGGCAATTGCTTGTTATTTACTTTTTGTTGATATTTAACTGGACAATAAAGAAGTTGAATAGAAGTAAAATTTTTCTAGCTTCTTTTCTTCTTGTGCTAGTTTGTGTTGCACTCGATAGTTAATGCACTGTGCTGAACCAGATCTCCATTTAGAAATAATTCTGTTCATTTTCACCTTTAGTTGAAAGATTGGCCGCCATTTTAGAGGTGAAAGAGACTAAGAGAGAGACTTTGAGGGTGTAAGATAGAACGTTGATGAAAGATGAGAAAGAGAGACTCTATGAGCTAGAAGAGGGAGATGGCGCTTAAATTCTAAGCTTCCTTGACCTGGCTGAAATCTCTAGAGAACTAAATTCTAAGCATTAATGGAGAATTGTATCTTTTGGACCATTGCTTGTTTCAACCCTGCCTAAGGGCATCTCCAACCAAAAATCCCATTTTTCACTTCAAAATGCGGTGAAACTTAAAAATGCAATAATTCATCTCCAATCGAACTCCATTTTGCTGGCTTCTGCGAAAGTTACCGTCTTTCTCCTTTTTAGCGCATTTCTACGGCATATCCAGTTGAGACAGAAAAATCATGTAGGTGAACAGTGCAACGCCAATATTGGGGTCGGACTGTTCACCCGCAAGCAAATGACGGAAGATTTGGCTTTCGGCTGGAGTGACAGAATGACGCCATACACATGTTTGATGTTCGGTTGAAGATGGTCTAATGACTGATAATGCTAAACAAATTTCTAAATTATAAATGCATTCAAAATTTCAAATTAGCATAAAAGTACTAAATAAATGAATAAATGTTAATAAATATACTGTTGAAATCCTAAAGAAATTTTTAAATTTAGATACTGGAAATTTCATGTTCTCACTTTTATGGCATAACGTGCAGGTGAAAAATGAGACTCACGCATTGTGGACATGGCACCGAAATCAGGATTCATATAAAAGCATTGGTGATCAGCTCTATATAGTCAGGCAGCCGCACAAGTGCCCCATCCTACCAAATTCAGCTACGAAAATGAACTTATTTTGATCAAACATTTTTGAAAATTTCTTCCATTTTCAGTCTACGTAGTGATTCAAACCTAGAACGATTTTAGTGGCAGCAGTTCCAATTTCAGAGAAATTAAGCAAGAGGGGGACGGATAGACTTTTCTACCACACATTACAGTAGTCCTGTAGGTTTTTGGTACTGATGCTTTGTATAAATGGATGAGGCTGCAGTGGTGAAAATTCTAATAGCGATTGCTGTGCAGAAAATGGATTTCGTTAGAGCTTTAAAACTGAAGAAAACTAAGAACAGAACGTTGGCTTCTCTTGGATGCACATTCTTGTTAAAAAAATAACTACGAACAGAACGTTGGCTGCATCTCATTAATGATTAGTTTGTGACATTTTTCTTACTATTTTTTATTTTTAATATATATATATATATCAATTGAATTTGAAGGCCCATTAGTGCATCATAAACTGGGCTCAACCTTGACCCAAATGAACAATATATATTAACATATAAACTCTCTCTCTCTCTCTCTCTCTCTCTCTCTCTCTCTCTCTTATTTTGAATACCATCGGTCATAATAAGATTGAGTAATGCTCATTTGTAGTAATTAACAAGCAATATAAAGAAAACAAATATTTTGGTCTCTTCTCTCTTGCAAAGAGCATTTGACAGAATTATTAAAAATATTGATTGCTATATAAATGTTATATATATATATATATATATATATATATAAAATTGATATGTCATCAAAAAATTATATTGATTGGGCACAAATCTCGATGCAAAATCAAGTTGGAAACTTCCGAAATTCAAATTGGGATCATCCGAACTCCGATTTCAACAAACTTATAGTCGAAATGAGCGTCTCAAGAATACGAACCCAACGACACCAAATCCAACCCAATCTGAGCCCAAACGGGTCCAAATCAAGGGTTAGAAGCGCTATTGGAAGGTTTAAACTACAATTTAGATTACCAAACGGTTTCCAAACATAACATGCTTATAGTTGAATCAAACGTCTCGACGAGACGAATCCAACGTGCCCAAGATCACTGAATTCTAACACCACTAAGACATTCAAATGTCCATCAAACAGTCCATGATCAAGGGATTCAATTACATCAGCCGTCCATCCAACCACTCCCCATTTACCCTTGATCTCTCACCTATTTACGAGCCATGCCATTTCAAAAATATATAAATAGACATCTCCTTTCGCTTGAGGGGGGACCCAAGCAAAAAGAGAAGAAGAGAAGAAAGAAGCTCCTCCTCGACCACTGCCCAGACTTCTGCCAGACCGGCCATCGCTTGACGTCGTTGCTCAGTCGGCCACCACTTGAGGCCCTCACCTCTTGTGGACGACCCCTTGAGGCCCGGACTTCTACCATACCACCACATAAGGCTCGGACTTTCGTCGGACCACCGTCTGACGTCGTTGCTCCGTCGGATCACCACTTGAGACCCTGTGTTTCACCAGGCCACCACGTGATACCCGGACTTTTGCCGGACCACCATCTGAGGCTCGGACTTCCACTGGACCACCACCTGAGGCTCGAACTTCTGCCAGACCACTACCTAAGGCCCGAACTTCTATTAGGCCACCACCCTTGAACTTCTGTCAGGCCACCACCTGATGCCTAGAGTTCTACCAGAGTATTGCCCTACTTTAATGGTCTTTTGGACCCCTATCTACTGCCGACTATGATTCTTCCGACTCTATCATATCAACTATGGTCCTGCCAACCAATCAAGCATGCTTATGCTGATTATTGTAACTCTCACCATGTAATGCGCTCCATATGATGTACATTTGTGACATCAAGCCAAGACCTTCTCCCTAGGAAGGGCCTCATTTGTAATCAACTATAGAATGAAATAATGTAATAAAATATTATTTATATCACTGCCCATTATGTATTCATAAGTTTCTTAATATGCTTAGGTGTGAAATGTGTGTATATAATATTTTTCTTTGATCTCTATATTTAAAAAGTTTTCTATATGATAATAATGCTGAAGTATAAAATTTTCATATCTCTACAATATGCTTAAAGCTTTATTTGATGGTGCAAAAACTCCTCAGTGCAATTAGCATAATTTTATCAATAAGAAATTGACAACCAAGACTTTTCAACTCCATATAGTTTTGCAATCATTAATATTTAGACACGTAGAAATATTGGATGCCTAGTTTATAGGCATCTTTTATTTTTTAAAACTTCACATACAATCATATATATTATCTCTCTTTGACATAGGCAAACAAGTTGATGGCAAAACAATAAGTTATATTCTGATCTAGTAAAATTTTTAATAAAATTATGATAAATTATTATTCTTTTTTATATGCATGATATACTAACTATCAAACAATAAGTTATATTCGTAATAAATAGGTAAAATGGTTTTTCATTAATCTCATAGAATCACTATATTATATCCTCTTTTTTGGATTTTAATCTATCTTTACTAACTTTGTCAAGAATAAATTATAAAATTTTTCCTATGATAAAATTTAGGGTCTGCTATGTTTTAAAAAACGGATCAAATCGGCCAATTCAATCGTAGAGTAAATTGTTTGATCCAGTCCAATTTAAAAAATTGGATTTGCATAGAACCAGCCTGAATCGGGTGAATCAGTCCAAGTTTGAAAGAACCAACTAGTTCTACAATTATTTTATTTTAACTAAAGTATAAACACTATATTTTACTTTACTAATTTTTTATTTAATAATAATATTAATTACACTATAATATATGCATGTCACCTCACAAAATATATTTTGTTAAAAAAATGTGAATTTTATACTATATAAAGAGTTAAAAGGCAACTATTTCAAACTCCCCTATAATATGAGACTTAAAATGTTACATGAATACAATATACTCTTGAATGTGAGTTTGAGCTTTATTAGCAATGTCGGATCCCGGGGGGGCAGCGGGTAAAATCATTGATTAATTAATAAGAAAATTAATAATCTAATTAATAATTAAAATTAAATAATTTTTAAAAACTAATTAAATTATTAATATGAGTATTAGTTAAATAATTTTTTATTTAAAAAAATTAACAAATCAATTACATAATTACCAATATAATTAAAAATCAAAAACTTGTTTGGAACATTTAGGCCAATTAACACAAACTCACATACACATTACATATACAAGACTCTACCCAAGACCTCTTGGTTGCCAACAAACCAAGATGAGTTACAAAACATATCAAATACTTAAATAAATTAACTTATAAATAAGTAATATTAATAAATAATACTAACTAATTATTGAATTAAATTATTTAATCAATAATGTTAATTTTAATTAAATCATTGTCAGTTATAATTTATACCTGTAATTAAAATTATATTAATAACTAATTTATACTTATCATATAATTAAATTCTTCACATATTAATTTTAATTTTTAAATGGAAGACCATCTAAATTTCTAATTATGTTGCCAAATAATTCATAGAATTAACAATTATTTTGCCAAATATCTTAAAATAATTTTAAGATTTAAGATACTCAATATTAATTAAGGGAAATTTTTTAAATAAGTACATAAAATATCTTAATTAGTGATAAGGCATTGTAAAAAAAAATTAAGCAAGGCAAAGTCGTTTATTAAACCGGCGACTTACCTGCTAACTCAGCACATCAGATGCCAGCTCAATCAATTGATATCGTAGCAAGTCGTCCCATTTAACTGGTGACTTGCTACAGTAACAGAACAGTAAAATATTATTTTTTATTTTTTAATTAAATTAGAGACAGAGATGAAAGTAGTAAACAAACCATTTGAAAATAAAAGGAATGTTGAAATCAATCTGTACAAACGTGGCAGATTGATATGATTGATAAGATGCTTAAGTTTGAGATGAATTTTGATAAAATGTAAATGATATGTTTTCTGAACATGAAAAATATTTCTAAAATAATTTAATTAAAAAATTAAAAAAATATATATTTTATTATTCTGCTACGGTAGCAAGTTGCACGTTACAACAATATCAATTGATGAGCTATCAGTTGAGCCAGCAGTAAGTCGCCCGTTAAACAGACAATTTTGCCTAGTTTTAAATTCTATTTTATGATGCTTGATCACATATTTAAATTTTTAATCATACTTATTTTAAAATTTTATTAAAATTTCCCACATAAAATCTGATTTGAATTATAACTAGTAAAATTTAACCCTACTTTTTAAAAATTCTAAGAACAAATAAAAGATTTTCTCTTATTATTTATTCTCATATTTTTTTTAGGCAAGTTTCCTTCACATTTATTATGCGTCCACCTGAGTAGATACGTCCTCCCCTCTTAACTCTTTGCTCGTTCTACCATAGTATTAAGAAGGATATCATCATGTGAAGCCAATACCGAGTTATACCGAGCTATACCGAGCAATACAGAGCTATACCGAGCAATACGATCCTATTTTTCCTTTAAAAAACTTGTATTGGTATACCTATTTCTAATTAGTTTCACATGAGATATTTTCTTAATACTATTCAAAAACGAATTTTTTAGTTCATTACTTAGCTAATGCTATCCTTCCAAAGAGGAGAACAAGAAGAGCTCCGGAGAAACACTGAAGGAAGCATTTGCATGGCGAACTGGGCTGTGGTCATCACGCTGCTACTGGCGGCAGTTGCCGTCGCTGAAGGATGCGGCGCGCGGCCGCATGTCCGCTGTCCCGTCGACGCTTACGGGCCCTTCGCGCCAGTGACTGTGAAGCTTGACGGCGAGGCTTTTCGAGGTGAAGCCGTTGATTTACCGGAAACCGATCCGCGGGTGGTGAGGCGGGTGACGGGTTTCGAGCCGGAGCAGATATCTGTGTCCCTTCCGCTACCCGCGGATTCCGTATGGATATCTTGGGTCACAGGTATGAGATTTCTCTGTTTGATCTCGGTGACTTTTTTTTTTAAAAAAAATTATAAACTCTATTGCGGAAATGTAATTTTGAAAAGTTGTAGAAGCGGTTGTGTTTCATATTTTTATATATTTATAATTAAAGATATTTTTATTGGTATTTATGGTATGATTGTGCGGTTATGATTGTGGTTAAAAAGATGATATACCATATAAAATTTATCTTGATCAAGCACGAATTTCGAGGAAAAATCAAGTGGAACTTCCAAAATAAAATTGTGGACCAATCTGAACTCCATTTCAACAACTTATAGTTAACTGAACATTTCGGAAATACGAACCCAACGACATAAATTCGACTTACTCTGAGCCCAAATGAGCCAAAATCAAAGACCCAAAGACATTTGGAAGGTTCACCATAATTTGAATTATCAAACGAGTTTCCAAACATAAATGCTTATATTCGAATTGTGCGGCTCAACGAGACGAATCAACGAGCCTAAGCATCTATAAATTTTGATATCAATAAACATTCAAATGTTCAATAAACGATCCACGATCAAAGAAATCAATATCGACCTTCTATTTAAACCACTCCCAATTTATCCTTGATCTTCCTCGTATTTACTGGACATACCACTCTCAAAAGTCTATAAATAGACCCCTCACTTCTCATGGAGAGGAGGACCCCAAGCAAGAAGGAATATAATGAAGAGAAGAAATATGAGATTCTTTCTTGCCACCCTCTCTTGCCACCAAGCTCCTCCTCAACCACCTCTCGAACTTCCGTCGGACCACCGACCGACGTCAGAATTCTACCGAACCACTTACTCACGCCCAGAATTCCGCCAGACCACCGACTAACCCGGAATTCTGCCAGACCACAACCTAATGCTGGGGCTTTCGCTGGACTACCATCTAACCCCCCACTACAGGAAAATCGTCTATTACCGACGGATTTTCGTTGGACAATTTTCCGACAGTTTTTTCGACGGTTTTCAATGGATAAAGATAAAATATTTTCGCCAGATTTTAGAAAGATTTTCCTGCATATTTCTGGCGGCTTTCCTGTGGATTTGTTTCTGACGAATTTTCCACGAATTTTCCGACGGATTTAATAATTTTTTAAAATTTCATATATTTGTAAATTCATTTATTAATTAATTATAGTCAATTTTAATTCATTATTAATTTAATAACTTTAATATAACTTAAAAAAATTAAAATTTAATTGTTAAAGTAATAATTAATTTAATTCTTTATTAATAAATTTTACTTATTATTTTATTAATTACTTTAATATTAATATAACTTTAAATAGTATATATTAATAATTTTAATATTAATAACCTTAGCTTCTTTATTTATAATTGTAACTTATTATTTTATTAACAAATTTAATAATAATATTAACAAATTATTTGAATTATTTTAATTTTGTTAAAATTTTTCTTGATTAATTTATTTAAATATAAAATAATTAGTATTTTACGTATTTTATAATCACAGCAGAGAGTTGGCACTCTTAAATGAAGAGATCCTGGTTCGAATCCCGCGCGAACAGCGGGAAATCTAGTACGCGGGCGGGCTGGGCACAGACGCACTACGGGCAGGCTGGGTGCGGACTCGTGGTCTGGGCACGGGTGGAGGTAGCTAGCGCAGCCAGGCCGAGTGCAGTGGGCTAGGCGCGGATGCACCGCGGGCCGGGGGGCTGGGCTCGGACGCACCGAGGGTGGACGTAGCTCACGCAAGCGGGCTCGGGCGCAATTGCGAAAAGTTTTCCGGTGAAATAATTCAGCTGGAAAAAATTTTCGGTGGTTTTTTTTTTCGACGAAAAAGCTTTTTGATGCTCGATTTACTGTAATGCCTGTATGTCGCTAGATTTCAACCAGACGTTGATTATTATAATATGATCGTCCTCAAGGACGATTCAATCAATTATAATGTACCCAAACACTAGTGGAATTGTTTCAACTGGATGTGGCTCCATTGTTTTTCCCTTTGTAAGGATTTTCCACATAAAAGATCTTATTTTATCTATTTGTGTACTAGATATTCATACAACGCTTAGACATAAAATTTTGACCCTACTACCGTGTATATTCTAGCCTGCAACAATGATGCTTCTATTTTTTCCCAGTATGTTGATTTTACACAGCTTTAAGATCTTTCACGCTTGCTTACTTATGTTTTCTTAGCTGAATGGAGTAGTTACAAGATTCTGGTGTGTTGTGATTTTCTAATTTTGCTATATTTGAAAAGACTCTTGTGAAATTTATAGATGTGGCCTCATATATTTAAACATATAAATAAAATATTATATATTAGAAGCAATTTAAAATTGAGCCAATTAAATTAGTGTTCTATTTAAGAATTAAATTATTATTTGGCTTTTGCGATATCTCAATTAAAGTTGATGCTTATGTGACATCTCAATAAAATTTGTATGAAAATTTGATGCTTATGTGGCATCTCAATTAAATTTGTATAGAATTAATTATTGTGTAGCGACTGAATATTTTATTTTATTTTAATGATATACTGAAATAAAATAAATACACTTAAAGTATAAAAGAATAGCAGTCCTCAGTTTAAGCGGTTAAGTTCTCATTTCCTATCTTGAGTGAAAAGATGTGGTCTATTGCTCTCTTGGAAAATGCCACTTCAAACATGAAAAACCAAAAATCTCGATTTTGCATTTCAATGGATTCAAGTACTCTTCTGATATCTTTTCTCAATGATTTGACATTATATTCGAAGTCGATGATATTATTTTTTCGCCTCTATTAAATCCTACAAGTGTTATCAGAGACTAATTATCATGTTGAATCAATGAAAAATGATTTTCTCTAATCATAATGTTTATTTGAGTTTTTCGTTTAAAATAAAATTTTCTTTTAAAAAATAAAAGAGGAGCATGAAAATAACATTTTCTTCACTATGAAATTATAACTAACTATTAATGATTAAAGTTTTCATTTGTTCATCATTTGAAGATCTAAGACTTTCTTTAACTGTACATTTTTTCCTTCACTGTTTTCGTCTTCTTCCATGAAAAAATTTTCTATTCAAATGAAGTTGCTGCAATGGCTTTTGCTTTCAAACAATGCATTGTTGGATAATTTATGATTATTTTATTTTTAGTTTTTAATACGTTGAGTACTACAGATAAGTATATTAAAAACTTTCTTCTTTTACTATGCATGCGTAATTAAATCCATCGAACTTAATTTTCAACTGACATAATCATAATCTCCCATGGCTGTAATTATAACCATTCTCGATTTAAAACTTTTAATTTTTTGGATTTAGTTTTCCCACCATGCGATAATTCATTCATATACTAAAATTAATTATCTTAATGAAGCCTTACATCTGTATTAAGTTTAGCAAATACGAGATGATTTTTTCCTCTTTATGGAGAAAATTGATTAATTGCTTCATATATTTATCAATTAAATATTTCTCATTTGAATGAATTATTCATTAATTTAAAATTAAATTAAATTGAAATAATATGTCATCAAAATCTCTATTAGATTAATTTCTTTAATTTTTATATTAATTGAATAATACTACATATTTAATTAAGTCTATACGGAAAATAATCGGCCTAAAAAAGATTATTTTTTAGCTATAATATAGATATATAGTAATAAATATGTGATAATTTTGGAATTATTCTTGCATATAATAAGATAATCGAAAGAAATATTTATTATTAGCAGAATTTTTTTATCAATATTTATTAACTATAATTTTAAGAGTGCCATTTATAAATTATAATTTATATCCAAAGACTAAATTATGATATTGTGTTAGATATCTTATAAAGGGCAAATTATTGGCTCAGGTGACCGAACGCAGAGATAGGTCCGGATATTAATAAAATATTATTTTAAAATTAGCGTAAGTAAAGCGCAGGTAAAGCGCAACTAAAGCACAGGTAAAGAGCAACTAAAGCGCAACTAAAGCGCAAGTTAAAAAGCGCAACTAAAGCGCAGGTAAAGCGCAAGTCAAAAAGCGCAAGGTGACGCGGCAAATTTTTATTGGATGTCCGAACTTATTTTTCGCCTTCGGTCACCTAACCCAATAATTTGCCCTTATAAAGAGCCCACCTTACATTGTTTCTAATTGTGAGCTAGGCGCGGAACCATGTAGTCCAAGGGGGGGCAATTGCCCCCCCTAAAAAAAATAAAATTCTTCTTATGCTACATGACATGCTTGTGATATTTTAGTGGATGGAAGTCTGGAGGTCTTGATATTATTAACCTCTCCTTCAAAACTTTCTTTATCTCTACTATTTTAAAACTAAAAGCTTCTAAAAAGGATTATTTTAATTGCTTTTTTATGTTTAATATGAATCCGATTAAAATAAATTATCTGGAATGAAATTATTACTGTTAGATCTAAATGGTATTCTAACTAGATCATTAAAAGAGATTTTAAGGACACTATTTCTACTAATGATAAGTTTTTCAATGGAGCCTAAACTCTGTCCGATGCACCTAGAAAATTACAAGCTTTGCAAAATAGAAAGCAAATCTTGTAATTTTTTTATTTAACAATTATAATGTAATATAAGAATTTATGTTTTATTTTATTTTTTATATGTAGATTAGTTATATATATATATGTATAATTATATGTACGAAAATTCTATATATGAGCTCGTTTATTTATACATATAATTAAATAAAGTACTATACATTAGAAGCTATCTAAAATTGAGCCAATTAAATTTGTTATCTATTTAAGAATTAAATTATTATTAGGCTTATGTAGCATCTTAATTAAATTTGTATGGAATTAATTATTATAAAGAAGCCTAATATTTATTTTATTTTAAAGATGGGCTAAAATAAAATAAATACACTTAAAGTATAAAAGAGTCGTGATCCCTAGTTTAAGCGGTTAAGTTCTCATTTCCCTCATTTCTTATCTTGAGTGAAAAAAAGGGGTCTCTCACTCTCTTGGAGAATGCCGCTTCAAATATGGAAGACTGAAAACCTCGATTCTGCATTGCAATGGATTCAAATACACTTTTGATATCTTTTCTCGATGAATTGGCATGATTTTCGGAGTTGATAAAATTATTTTTTTGGTCTCTATTAAATTCTATGGAGACAACTTTGGTTATGCTTATTGAACTGATGGAAATTGTTTGGGGATAGTTTTTTGGTTTGATATTCTGATAAGGAATGAGCTTTTAATTTAATTGGAACTGAATGTTAAACTTCAGTGTGGCTGGTAGGGATGGTATTGTGCTGTCTTTTTCAGAGTGATATGGTTTTTAATTAACTGTAAAATTTTCTCAGTTATGAATATTAAAGGATTGTGTGTTTATCCGATCCTTTGAAGTTAAAGGTTTTTGGTTTGCTGCTTTGAATTTACTACTGATTTCCCAGAAATCAACTCAGAAAATTTTGATGATAATGTGATTTTGACAGTTTTTTTTTTTTGCTGGCCTGCAGGTGATTTCCAAATGGGTAATGACATTCAACCTTTGCATCCTGCAAAGGTTGCAAGTATCGTTCGTTATGGAAGATTGCGACATCACTTAGCTTTGAAAGCTACTGGCCATTCACTTGTTTATAGTCAGATTTATCCATTCGAAGGCATGCAGAATTAGACATCCGGAATAATCCACCATGTTCGCCTTACAGGTAGATAGACATTGCATATTTTTCTTGTTAGGCTTTCAAATGTTATTGGATAGATATTTCTATGCAGACTAGTTTCACTGTTTTGTTGATCTATTGTTTAGATTTCTTTGTTATTCTATTTATTCTGTGTTAATGTTGCTCATGTCGGAAGGCAAGTGAGCAACAATTTCTTCTGATATTCTATTTATTATGTGTTAATGTTGCTTATGCAGGAAGGCAACAATTTCGTTAGACCATTAGGTTATATAATGTTCCATACACTAGCGTCTGACTTAGGCTTCATTTGGGACGGCTTTTTTATTGCTTTCTAAAACGAAGTTTTAATAAAAAATAAAAAATTTTGTACTAAAACTCCGTTTTAGAAAGCAGTAAAAAAACCGTTCCAAACGAATCCTTAACTGACTAACTGCTCCTTTTCACCAAGGCTTGCATGTTTCTCTGATTAACTAAATTTTAAAGTAGCTTTTGGAGTTTTATACTTGCACACATTATCATATTATTTGTCTTTGCCTTTGAAGATAAATTGCTTTGCATATCGAAGACCATCTAGGATTCTTGAGAGAGTATTGAGGTTAATCCCACATTGGATAGTTAAAAAATATATTGGTGTAAAAATATCAAATATTTGGCACTCATAATTTTAAATCTTATGGGTTAAAATAAAAATTGACTACTAGTGTATTAAGCTCAAATTTAGTTCACTTTGGTCCACACTCTTTAGCAAATGTATCAGAGTCTATGAATCAACTAAAATTGAGTGGTTCAAGCAATTTGTGGCTCATGTCGGTATTTTTTGCATTCTACCATAGTTAGGCAAAGTGCAAAAGTGGCTGACTTCCATGATAGCTCCACGTGGTCGGGTTAACCCTTGTTGAATGATATATGATATTGAAATAAAAATACTTACATTTGACTGTATGTGATGCCTGACTTGGAGAGCTCTCTTGCAAGAGGGAGATTGTTAAGGCATAGAGAATATTGATTTACATTCACATAGTTAATATCTTGATGTAGAAATACCAAATGATTAGCACTTAGGTATAAACTTAAGCTTTTGGGTAGAAAATGGATTTGACCACTACTATATTACGTACAACTTTGACCTCCTTTGATTTACATTTCCTAACATAAAGCCACCAATTATGTGGCATCTAAAGGTTTAAGGATTTCACAATGGTTGGGAAATGCAAATTGTCTTTAGAGTTTCTCAATTAGAAATATCCAAATCAAATATGATGGAAATATTAGGATATTAGGTATTGTTAGTCACTTAGTCGACTGATTTTTTCATGAGATTCAAGAAAGAAAAGAAGTGGTATGCCTGGAAAATTTTGAGCTTTTCTTGAGATACGTATTGCTTTCTTGCTATTGGTTTCTAGTTTCTACACTTGAAAAATCTTTTGACCCCATGGGTCGCTCTCTTGCAATTGTAAGCTCAATTCTTTAATGAGCTTGTGTTGTCCTCCTTTTTTTTTTAAAGCTAATTTCTTTGATGAGTAGCATATGCTTTCCCATGTTACTCATATTTTATTAAAATAACATTTGAACTTTACATACTCTATGAAGTATCCAAAGAATCTTTTTGGATGCTACTCATACATTATTAAAAGATAACATGACAAAAATTGTTCCTTGACTCTTTATGAATGACATAAATGATCTCCAATTATATTAAATGGTTATTTTGATCCTTAAAGTCTTTAAAATGGAATCAAAATAATTCCATGGTGGGACTATTTTGGTTCCTATTTAAGGAGCTTAGTGCGGAAATGACCCTTTAATATAATTGTGGAGTATTTAATATAGTTGTGGACTATTTTGATCTTTCATAAAGAGTCAATGAATCATTTTAGTTATTTTCTCATTATAAAAATTACATTCAAAGCTTGCGGTACTTTATGAAGTACCCAAAGAACCTTTTTAGGTGCTTCTTACATAATATTTGTCCACAGTCTAACTAGATGGACATTACATCGTCAAATCTATTTTTTCTTTACACATTTGAAATGCAACTTTGAAATGCACATTTTCAAATGATCATACCTTTTCATCCTTGGATTAGATTTTTTGCTGGTTTTTGCAATAATAATCAAATTTATCTTGTATGGGTTGCAGGACTTGAACCAAGTACCCGCTATTTCTATCGGTGTGGAGACCCTTCAATATCAGCATTGAGTACCACACATGAGTTTAGAACAATGCTCATTTCAGGTCCTAAGAGCTACCCAAAAAGAATTACAATTGTCGGGGATCTTGGCCTTACTTATAATACAACTTCAACTGTGGATCATATGAAAAGTAACAAACCAGATCTGATCTTATTGTTGGGGGATGCTACTTATGCGGACTTGTATTTAACTAATGGAACTGGGTCAGCGTGCTACTATTGCTCATTTCCAAATACCCCAATACACGAGTCCTACCAACCTAGGTGGGACTACTGGGCAAGGTCAAGATTATTGAAACACTATATTATTGATCTCCCTTTCTCATATAGTAATATGTAAAAATTAAAGACCTTTATGGCTTCCTTTCAATTTACCCATTTGTATGTTAGATAGATTTGTTTGACTTCATAATGATGATGTCAATCTAGATATCATTAAATTGGTGTTAACCATAATTAATCTTCTTAAGGGTGTACCCAGTGATTCATACTACTAGCATTACGGGTATAGATGGGGTAGATATATGCAAAGTTACCTTTGCATTGCAGAGAAGAAATGCTCTTGGGTATTTCTAGGTGTTCACATGGAGGCAACCTAATCATTCCAAGCTCCCTCAAATAAGAAACTTGTGGCTTCTGTGATGTTTTCAGACTTTTAATATGTTTAATTCTGCTTTTAACCCTCAACAAAATTTGTTTATTAATTAAATGTATCATTGAAATTTTTTTCAGGTTTATGGAACCTACAGTGTCAGAAATTCCAATAATGGTGATAGAAGGAAACCACGATGAAGAAGAACAGGTGAGTGGTAAGACTTTTGAAGCTTATAGTTCAAGATTTGCATTCCCAACTAAAGAAAGTGGATCAAACTCCACATTTTACTACTCCTTCAAGGCTGGGGGAATACATTTTGTCATGCTTGGTGCATACATTTCTTACAATAAGTCAGGTAAGGTTAAGTTGCTAGTCCTTTTACTTTCCTGCTGAATATATTCAACGATATTCATATTATAGACCACTTTTTCTAACTTGGGGGTATATGGATGTCGACACACATATGAAATACATTTCATTGGCATGTACATCCTTTGCGTTCTTGTTTTAGATACCATTAGGTGTGATGGTACTTTGAGGTCCACACTTGATTGTCTCATTTTAGATCCAAAAAGGGCAAGCAGTCATGTTTACAATCATCGTAACTTCCTCGATCCCATATGCATCTTGTAAAGCTCGCTGTTTAAGTTTTCTACATTTTGAGACATGATAGCTATCCCAGAAGAAGCAAGCTAATGGGCTACCAACTGAATTCATTACAGAACATACAGAAGATATAATATAGACGTCCAATCCTAATCTTGATTATTTTGATCTTTTATATGTAATTTTCATATTCAAAACTTGTTGAAGCTTCATCTTCCTGCTGTGTAATGTGTTATGATGGAAATTTGGCATTTATCAATAATTTTTTTATTCATCCAACATCCATATGCAATATGTCATAATCTTCTTACCTTGCATCTAAATTCAAAACCTCAATCTCTCTTGGAGTTTGGACCATAAGGTTGATAGTTAAATTAAGTTGCATTTGAAGTCATAACACATTTTTTTATTCAATGAAACTCTTTTACATTCATTTTCTTTCCCTCATTACCCTTTTTTTAAACTTTCCTTTTTCAGACTCTCCCTGCATCCATGCACACTTTCATTTTATCCAATAATGTTTATCGGCAACACCTTATTTTGTTCATGACAGGAGAGCAGTATAAGTGGCTGCTAAGGGATCCATGATAGCTCCACGTGGTCGGGTTAACCATTGTTGATGATATATGATATTGAAATAAAAAAGACTTATATTTGACTGTATGTGATGCCTGACTTGGAGAGCTCTCTTGCAAGAAGGAGATTGTTAAGGCATAGAGAATATTGATTTACATTCACATAGTTAATATCTTGATGTAGAAATACCAAATGATTTGCACTTAGGTATAAACTTAAGCTTTTGGGTAGAAAATGGATTTGATGACCACTACTATATCACGTACAACTTTGACCTCCTTTGATTTACATTTCCTAACATAAAGCCACCAATTATGTGGCATCTAAAGGTTTAAGGATTTCGCAATGGTTGGGAAATGCAATTTGTCTTTAGAGTTTCTCAATTAGAAATATCCAAATCAAATATGATGGAAATATTAGGATATTAGGTATTGTTAGTCACTTAGTCGACTGATTTTTTCATGAGATTCAAGAAAGAAAAGATGTGGTATGCTTGGAAAATTTTGAGCTTTTCTTGAGATATGTAATGCTTTCTTGCTATTGGTTTCTAGTTTCTACACTTGAAACTTCTTTTGACCTAATGGGTTGATCTCTTGCAATTGTAAAATCGATTCTCTAATGAGCTTGTATTGTCCTCTTAAAGCTAATTTCTTTGATGAGTAGCATATGCTTTCCCATGCTACTCATATTTTATTAAAATAATATTTGAACTTTACGTACATACTATATGAAGTATCCAAATAATCTTTTTGGATGCTACTCAAACATTATTAAAAGAGAACATGACCAACATTGTTCCTTGAGTCTTTATGAAGGACATAAATGATCTCCAATTATATTAAATGGCTATTTTGATCCTTAAAGTCTTTAAAATGAAATCAAAATAATTCTATGGTGGGACTATTTTGGTTCCTCTTTACGGAGTTGAGTGCCTTTAATATAGTTGTGGAGTATTTAATATAGTTGTGGACTATTTTGATCTTTCATAAAGAGTCAATGAATCATTTTAGTTATTTTCTCATTATAAAAATAACATTCAAAGCTTTCGGTACTTTATGAAATACCCAAAGAACCTTTTTAGGTGCTTCTAACATATATTTGTCCACAGTCTAGCTAGATGTACATTACATTGTCAAATCTATTTTTTCTTTACACATTTGAAATGCAACTTTGAAATGCACATTTTCAAACGATCATAACCTTTTCATCCTTGGGTTAGATTTTTTGCTGGTTTTTGCAATAATAATCAAATTTATCTTGTATGGGTTGCAGGACTTGAACCAAGTACCCGCTATTTCTATCGGTGTGGAGACCCTTCAATACCAGCATTGAGTACCACACATGAGTTCAGAACAATGCCCATTTCAGGTCCTAAGAACTACCCAAAAAGAATTGCAATTGTCGGGGATCTTGGCCTTACTTATAATACAACTTCAACTGTAGATCATATGAAAAGTAACAAACCCGATCTGATCTTATTGTTGGGGGATGCTACTTACGCGAACTTGTATTTAACTAATGGAACTGGGTCAGAGTGCTATTATTGCTCATTTCCAAATACCCCAATACAAGAGTCCTACCAACCTAGGTGGGACTACTGGGCAAGGTAAAGATTATTGAAACACTATATTATTGATCTACCTTTCTCATATAGTAATATGTAAAAATTAAAGACCTTTATGGCTTCCTTTTAATTTACCCATTTGTATATTAGACAGATTTTTTTTACTTCATAATAATGATGTCAATCTAGATATCATTATATTGGTGTTAACCATAATTAGTCTTCTTAAGGGTGTACCCAGTTATTCATACTACTACCATTAGGGGTATAGATGGGGTAGATATATGCAAAGTTACCTTTGCATTGCAGAGGAGAAATGCTCTTGGGTATTTCTAGGTGTTCACATGGAGGCAACCTAATCCTTCCAAGCTCTCCCTCAAACAAGAAACTTGTGGCTTTTATGATGTTTTCAGACTTTTAATATGTTTAATTCTGCTTTTGACCTTCAACAAAAATTGTTTCTTAATTAAATGTATCATTGAAATTTTTTTCAGGTTTATGGAACCTACAGTGTCAGAAATTCCAATAATGGTGATAGAAGGAAACCATGATGAAGAAGAACAGGTGGGCGGCAAGACTTTTGAAGCTTATAGTTCAAGATTTGCATTCCCAACTAAAGAAAGTGGATCAGACTCCACATTTTACTACTCCTTCAAGGCTGGAGGAATACATTTTGTCATGCTTGGTGCATACATTTCCTATAATAAGTCAGGTAAGCTTAAGTTGCTAGTTCTTTTACTTTCCTGTTGAATATATTCAACGATATTCATATTATAGACCACTTTCTCTATCTTTGGGGTATATAGATGTCGACACACATATGAAATGCATTTCATTGGCATGTACATCCTTTGCGTTCTTGTTTTAGATACCATTAGGTGTGATGGTACTCTAAGGTCCACACTTGATTGTCTCATTTCAAATCCAAAAAATGCAAGCATACGTGTTTACAATCATCGTAACTTCCTCGGTCCCTTATGCATCTTGTAAAGCTCACTGTTTAAGTTTTCTACATTTTGAGACATGATAGCTATCCCAGAAAAGAGCAAGCTAATGGGCTACCAACTGAGTTCATTACACAAGATACTGAAGATATAATATAGAAGTCAAATTCTGATCATGATTATCTTGATCTTTTATGTGTCCTTTTTATATTCAAAACTTGTTGAAGTTTCATCTTCCTGCTATATAATGTGTTATGATAGAAAATTGGCATTTATCAAAAATGTTTTTGATTCATCCAACGTCCAAATGCAATATGTCATAATCTTCTTACCTTGGCATCTAAATTCAAAACCTCAATCTCTTTTGGAGTTTGGACCATAAGGTTGATAGTTAAATTAAGTTGCATTTGAAGTCATTTTTTTATTCAATGAAACCCTTTTTCATTCATTTTATTTTCCTCATTACCTTTTTTTTTACACTTTCCTTTTCCAGACTCTCCCAACATACATGCACACTTTCATTTTTGCCAATGATGTTTCTCGGCAACACCTTTTTTTGTTCATGACAGGAGAGCAGTACAAGTGGCTGCTAAGGGATTTGGCATCTGTAGATAGAAGAGTTACCCCTTGGTTGATTGCAACTTGGCATTCACCTTGGTATAGTACATATAAAGCCCATTATAGGGAGGTGGAGTGCATGAGGGTGGAAATGGAAGAACTACTATACTCATATGGTGTTGACATTGTCTTCAATGGCCATGTAAGTTTCTTGTCATACTCTTATTGTGATGCGCTTGTCTCAAACCCGTCGTTTTATGTTGCTATTAACTTCTTACGGAACTAGCTTTACAAGTTTTAGAAGTTAGGGATTGATCTTAATCCACTAATTATTTATATGAAGTTGGGTATAATTAATGAGAGCAATCAACTTGCTCCCAAGTTTTTGGTTTGTCCTTAAGGTTTAAGTTTATTCCCTAGTGAAGTAAAAGTTTATCCTTTACGACCATGGGCTTAAAATTTGGAGATTTCATTCTAAATTGTGGCCACTAGGGTCATCTTTTTGCATAACACATGAACTTGAAGATTACTCCACAATTTGCAGAAATTTTAAACTTAGCTATTGAACTTGAAGATCTTCTTTTTGCAGTGTAACTATTAGGGAGAATTCAACCCCCGTTGTGGGTCCCAAGAAAACTATAATGCATTATGTCAGAAGGAGAAATCTTGGGAGAGATAATTAGGAAGATTTTTATGATAATTGGGAGGGAATTATCTAGGGAAGGAGTTCAAAATTGAGGAGAAATCTATGGAGAGATAGTTAGGAAGGTTTTAATGACAATTGGAGGGAAATTATTTAGGGAATGAGTTCAAAATTGAGAGGGAATTAAATATTTAATTGAGGAAAGAAAACTGATTTTGGAGGAAAGTAGGGGAGCCTATTTAAGGCTAGCTATGTATTATTTTCAGTTCATGCAAATTGTTTCATGCTATAGTTTCTTTCTTATGAGTTTCCTAGCGACGTCTAAGATTTTTGGGAGAGCAATCTACTTCTCGAATTGTAGATCACTTGTATCTTTCTTTCTTGTTAAAGAAATAAGCAAAAATCAGTCTCTATCATCAAGTTCCTGTAGTTTTCTACTTGTTCTATTGTTGTTTTTACTTCAAAGACACATTAGTTACATGTTTGATATCATTGGTCGAAATGCACTCTTTCTATACAAAGAAGAAAGAATATATTGTTAATAACTAACATGTAGATGATTTCTAATTCTAACTGTTAATTCGCTCTTTAATGCCAGGTGCATGCGTACGAGAGATCAAATCGGGTTTATAACTACACATTGGATCCTTGTGCTCCCATTCACATTGTGGTTGGAGATGGAGGAAACCGAGAGAAGATGGAAGTAAATCATGCAGATGACCCTGGCCACTGTCCTGATCCAGCAACAACCCCAGATGATATAGGGGGCTTCTGCGCCTTCAACTTCACAGGTGGACCAGCTGAGGGCAAGTTCTGCTGGGACCATCAACCTGATTACAGTGCATACAAAGAAAGTAGCTTCGGACATGGAATTTTAGAGGTATAATCAGCATACTCACTATGTCATCTTAATATTTGATACCTTTACATTTAGTGGTATATTTTCCTTTAGAGGTCATAGGAACTTTGGTTCGATAGATAAACAAGTACTGCTACTATTTAAAGCTTGTTAAACTGAAGAATGAGGATTGCTTATTGCTCTATTTTAATGGAGAATTATTTGAAACGGACCTTAGTTTGGAGATAAACAATGATAGAATGTAGAAAGAACGTTGATGAAAGATGAGAAAGAGAGACTCCACGAGCTAAAAAAGGAAGATGGCACTTAAATTCTAACTCCCTTGACCTGGCTGAAATCTCTAGAGAACTAAATTCTAAGCATTAATGGAGAATTGTGTCTTTTGGACGATTGTTTATTTCAACCCTGCCTAAGGGTATCTCCAACGGAATATCCCATTTTTCACTTCAAAATGCACTGAAATTTAAAAATGTCGTGATTCATCTTCAATCGAACTCCATTTTGCGGGCTTTTGCAAGGTAATCTTCTTTCTCCTCTTTGGCGCATTTCTATGGCAAATCCGGTTGAGATAGAAAAATCGTTTAGGTGAACAGTGCAACGCCAATATTGAGGTCGCACTATTCACCCGCAACCAAACAGTGGAAGATTTGGCGTTCGGCTGGAGCGATCGAACGACGTCATATGCATGTTTGGCGTTCGGTTGGAGATGGCCTAATGACTGATAATGCTAAACAAATTTCTAAATTATAAATGCATTCAAAATTTCAAATTAGCATAATAGTACTAAGTAAATGAATAAATATATTGTTGAAATCCTACAGAAATTTTTAAATTTTGATACTGGAAATTTCATGTTCTCACTTTTATGTCATAACGTGCAGGTGAAAAATGAGACTCATGCATTGTGGACATGGCAACGAAATCAGGATTCATATAAAAGCACAGGTGATCAGCTCTATATAGTCAGGCAGCCGCACAAGTGCCCCATCCTGCCCAAATGAGCTTTGAAAATGAGCTTAATTTGATCAAACTTTTTTGAAGATTTCTTCCATTTTCAGTCTAGTTACTGATTGAAGCTTAGAACGATTTCACTGACATCAGTTCCAATTTCAATTCAGGCATTTTGTAATGCATTAAATAAGTCTTTGTTTGGGACAACTTTCTTATTTTTTATAAAGCAAGTTTTTAGTATAAAAATTTATACTAGAATGTGAGAATGATCCTTTAAAAACAGTAAAAAAAGCTATTTCAACTGAAGCTATGTCAATATTTTATAATTTTTCATTATTTTTTTTTTTAATTTTAAGCAAGAAAATTGGGCCTCACTATTTTAATTAAAACCGATATTTGTCCTTCATAATATTATCATGACAATTTTCTTTTAAAGAAGGTCAAATTTCACACACAAATAACTTTTAAGCATTCACATTATCCCAACTTAATTTTTTTTTTTTTTAATTTTCTTTACAATCAGAGACAATGAAAGTTCATCATATCTAGTAAATATTGAATAATTTTTAGAATGGGCGGTGGCAGCCGATAGGAGCAAATGGCGGCGGGCCGGCGATATCCGGCCAACAATCAAGCTTATGAAATGTTAGATGAAGGGTTGGTGGTGCTTTCTTCATAATGGAGCGCTGAAAGTATTCTGTTCTAAAAGTCATGATGGGCAGTGATGTTAAAGCCATTATACGGTCTCTAATTATCTTTAATCTGTCTTTTAAGTTTTAAGAGAGCAAAATGGAGAAAAAGAATTCATATAGTTCTCAAATTTATCTCCAAATAATATGAATTCGAGTGCCTTCAATCATTATCTTTGATATATCATAAAAAATTTATCTTGATCGGGCACGAATCTTGAGGCAAAATCAAGTTGGAAATTTCAAAAATTAAATCCGGGTCTATCTGAACTCCGATTTTAGTAAACTTAGAGTTGAACTGAACGTCTTGAAAATACGAACCCAAGGACACCAAATATGACCGAATCCGAGCTCAAATGGGTCCAAATCAAAGATTAGAAGCGCATTTGCAGGTTGAATCCATAATTTGGATTACCAAATAGTTTCGAAACGTAACATACTTCTAGTAGAATCGAGCGTCTCGACAAGAAGAATCCAACAAGCTCAAGATTTTCAAATTTTGATGTCATTAAGACATTCAACTGTCCATTAAACGGTCCATGGTCAAGGGAATCAACATCGGCCATCCATTAAAACCACTCCCAATTTATCTTTGATATTCCTCCTATTTATTGGTCATGGCACTCTCAGAAAATTATAAATAGATCCCTCATTTCTCATGAGAGGGGACTTAGGCAAGAAGAGAGCTTTCTTAACACCAGACTCCTTCTCGACCATCGCCGGACTTCCACCTAGCAGCAGACCCACACCAGATTTTTTCCTGACCGCCATTGACGACGGACTTCTACCTGACCGCCAACAAACACCAGATTTCTGCCCGTATGTTGACTAATGCCGGACTTCCATCAGACCATCAATTAAAGCAGGATTTCCACCCGACGACTAAACGTTGTCGGAATTCCGATCTCCGCTCATAACTGGATTTCAACTCGACGGTTGATTATTTGTAATCTGATCATCCTCAATTTCAGGGACAAGTCAGCCACATGTAATCTAATCAAACACTAGTATAATCATTTCAATTGGGCACAACCTCATGATTTTCTCCTTTTCCAATATTTTCCACGTAAAAATTTTGGTATTACATTTTTTCTGTCTGTGTTGGGTATGCCGTATGCGTACAATGCTGAGACAAAATTCCTAACTCTATCGCCAAGTATATTCTAACCTGCAACAATCTTTATGATTAGAGTTTATTAAATTTGTTTTATACAAGAGTTTTGACCCTCATTCTTATTATTATTTAGAATTTTTTAAATATTTCGTTAAAACTAACTTGAGTATAATAGCATGAGCAATATTAAAATCTTAATGAGAACTCTAAGTTATTAAACATATAAAATTCCACCTGTTTTTCTCCCTCTTTCCTTCCACAAATGTCCTAAAAATAATTTCTTGATAAATCTATAATTAAATTTGTGATGGTCATGCGGTCGGCCAGAATCCATTAAGCAGCGCTCAGCAAAGTACAACTTGTTAGAGCGGATAACCTAATTCTAATTTCATTCATTCTTTTTTTTTTTATGAAATAATTTCATTCATTCAAAGTTATGAAAATATTTCAAAATAACAACTGATTCTATATGTGATAATTTATAAGCTATTTAAATATTAGATAATTAATTTATATTATAAATAGCATTCAATATTAAAAAAATTGTTATTATTTTATACTTTAAAAAAAATAATTATTTCTAAAATATATCTTCCTTTCCTAATATAAAAAGTTATATAAACAAGAAGAAGAAGTAGCTTTTGGCTTCGTTTGAGAGGACTTTTTTACTGCTTCTTGAAGGAGCTTTAAAGTACAAAAATTTTAAGTTTTATACTAAAAAGTTGTTTTAAGAAGCAGTATGAAAGCCGTCCCAAACGAAACCTTTATCTCGCAACTTAAGGTTTGCTACATGTATTCTATTAAGGCTTCATTTGGAACGGTCTTCTTATTACTTTTTAAATTAACTTTTTGGTACAAAAATTTCAAAGCTCAAAAATTTTTTTATTAGAAAGTTATTTTAAAAAGCGGTAAAAGACTATCCCAAATAAAACCTAAGAGTTGAATTCTCATTTAAATCTAATAAAAATATTTTGTATATTTTTTTTTCTTATTATTAACCAGCAATATAAAGATTATAGTTAATTTGTTAGCTAGCCCAACTCTAACGAACTTCTAATTTAATACAAGAAACTATAGAGAGGCTGTTACATTGCAGAATCGTATTGCTTTCAGCTACCTAATTGGTTTGAACTTCTACTGAAAATGAGTTGGGAAGTAGTGGGTAAACCAATTCATTTTCTTATGACATTTTGATCGGTTTGTTAACTCTGAAAAGTACTAATGGATGAGAAGATTTTTTTTATATATATTTTTATTCAGATATTAATAAATTGTTATACTATATTCATCAATAATAATTAAATTTGAATTAGAATATCTTGAATAAATTGTTATACTATATTCAGATTTTTTCCAAATATTGATGATTGATTTAAATAGTTCCAATTTAAATTTTGTTGAACATTTTAACATTAGATTGTAAGGATTAGAAGACCAATTACATTAAATATTGCTCATTACATTAAAATTTATCCTATTTTATATAATTTTAAATATGCATCATAATTCTATAGTAATCGATGTGCTTGTAAGAATCAAATGATGATCTATAATAGGGATCTATAAGGGTCACCCTGAATCCAATTGGTTGAAGGTGCTAAAGATAGCATTAGTAAGAGATGAGGACTTCTGAAATCCTTTAATACAAGGCATCATTGCTCATCTTGAATGACATCAAGAGGGTGTCAATAAGTTGAGATTAAGGTTTCGTTTGGGATTATTTTTTTTATTGTTTCTTGAAACAACTTTCTAATTCAAAAACTAAAACTTTTATACTAGAAAGCTGTTTTAAGAAGCAATAAGAAAATCGCTCCAAACGAAGCCTAAGTTATGTCTAACAAGACTATTAGGGGATTACGAGTTGGTCAAGCATCATGAGAATGTCGAAGAGGGTGCCTTATTTGGGTGACCAAGCCCAATGTGAACTCCATAGTACTGTGATGGTGTTGTTTTTCGGCTAGCCTCTTATAAGAGCTAAAATATTTGAGCTTGATGCTCCTCCATCCTATAAGCACAATCCTAGAAAAAACAGGGATGTGAAACCTTCACCAGCTAGAATATGTTGTCCTTCATTGTAAAATTGACTCATAATTTGATGAATGTTTAAAGGGGAGGCTCCATTATTATTGTCATCATGCTTATTACCTATTATACAATTGTTTAAAGGTTTGGGGGATTATTCTTACAAAGAACATCAAATTGTTGCGTGCTAAAATATTTACATTGGTTAACAGCATCTCCAACCGAAAAACTCATTTTTCATTCCAAAATACAGTAATACATCAAAATGCAGTAACTTGTCTCCAACTCAACTCCATTTTCTAACACCAAAGAAAGAATATTCCTAATAGATTTTTTCTCATACTTTATTTTATATTTTTTAATCATATAAATATGTTTAAAAAAAAATAGCGGGTGAACATTACGACTATTCACCTTTATCCGATTAGCGGTTTTTTTAACGTTCGAATGGAGCAAACCAACAATGCCTTACCGTCGTTTGGAGTTCCGTTGGAGATGCCCAAAGTAAGTTTTTTATGCATTAGCATTACACAAATATTCACATACACACATAAAAATTAGCTCATAAGACACATAATTTTTCTATGAAAAATAGGAAAAGAAAAATAACCGCATTGCCTGACCTAGCTGAAACAATTCTTTATATAGATGGAGGATTACAAAAAATCTTTCCATCTCCTTAAGTGAAAAAGGTGAGATTACAATGTTTAAATCACCAGCTTGATCTCTCATTTATTGTCTGTTACCAATGGAGATGGCCATAGAATGACAATTGATACCGACGTTGAGATATGTAGGCCACGATGGTCTGGAGATGATATCGAGGCTCACAATCAATCACAAAGATTAATTATTTAATTATTCATATATCATATTCATTTTTAAATAAATTTAAAAAATTTATACAACAATCCCAACAATTTTTTTTAAGAATTCATTTCATTTCCTTTACCATCATTCAATCCAAACAAAATCCAAGAAAAAAGCAAAAATTTAAACATATCGATATCACAAAATCATCATCATCAGCATCAGTTCGTCATCAGAATACAAATTATAGAAAGAATTTGATCCAAAATCTTTACCAGGTTGTTGGCACCCATAAATCAGAATATATCAAGAACATCAGCGACAACGCCATTGCAGAGTGGGCAGCACCCCCTTACGGCCCACAGCTCCCGCGAGCACACCCTGCAATACGTGTGCCCACAAGGGATGAACGCCGCCCCTTTCTTCCTCACCAAGCAGACACAGCACACCATCTCCTCCGCCACCGCATCGCTTCCGCCGCCGCTGCAGGCGACGGTGGTTGTCGTGTCATCTCCTCCAAGCTCATCGGTTAGCTCCATCAACGTCATCAGCGGAACCCTAATCGCTCGCTCCTCCGCCGTCTCCGGCGGCATCCCGCTGCTTTCGCCTTCCTCCCGGAGGATGTCGAGAAGCCTTCGCTCGCCGCGCTTTTCCGACTCCAGGATCGACGCTAGGGTTACAGCCCTGCCACCAGGGCGACTGGCGACGGAGAAGCTGTCTTCCTCATGCATATTGAGGAGGTCGCGGAGGTTTGTGGGCTCCATCATGGAGATCTGCTCAAGGAGCGTTGTCCTTCTCTGCCGAATGCTAGTCTGCGCCATGGCGAGCACGATTATCCGGGGATTAAGCGCTAAATCCCTTTAGTTCTGACGAATTACCCCAAATCGCCGAGAGATCGGCTGGTTGAAGTGGGAATTGTTCTAGTTCAAATGAACTCCAGCGCAGGATTCCTTTTGCCCCTTTGGAATCGTGCTTTGCTTCGATGAGAGAGCACATGGAGAAGCCCTAGGTTTCATTTGAGGCAAAGATTGAAGGAGGAGGAGAAAATAGGAAGGGAAAAAGAGTTAAAAGGTTATTCTAGGAGTGGATGTGGATCTAAGCGCTAGGGTTTTGAAATTTCTGCTTTTTTCGTTGCTGTTACTGTGCAAGAGAAACAAAGAAGCGGAACTGACATCCGCAATCTCCGACATGAGGTGCGGTCGGGCGTGACGGGCTTTATAAAGAAGCAGTGCCAAAAAAGTCGATGGATTTTTTAATTGTTTTTTTTAAATGAAATATAGACCAATTATAAGACATAAGAATAAGTTTTAAAATTCTTAAATTTATTTTTAAATAATTGCAATGTAAAAAAAATTATATTAATCTCATTTTAAAATAATTTTATGATTCTTTGAATCAAAACATTTTCACTTGTTTTTTTTTTTCATTTTTTAAATTATTAATATAAAAAAGTCATCTTAAAAATAAAAAAATACACTAGTTTGCCGACCTAAAAAACAAAATTGATTTATGGTATGTTAAGGATAGTTGCCCTATTTTATACAGTTGGTTATGAAGCTGTTGTGATAAAATCAACTAAAATATTATGGTTGTAAAAATAACTTTTCACCATATAAATTTTTAAAAGATAATAAGAAAGCTGTTCCAATCAGACTCTCAGGCTTTGTTTGGGAGAGCTTTTAACATGCATTTTTTTCCATTTTTTAATAATTTTTTAGTAAAAAGTTGTTTTAAAAAATAGTAAGAAAACTATCCTAAACGAAGCTTGGGACGAGTACTGCTTCTTAAAGCAATTTTTTAGAACCATAATATTTAATATTTAAAATTTTTGCACTAAAAAATGGCTTTAGAAATCAATAAGAAAGTTGTAATGTCATAGAATCAAATTTGAAAGAATTATATATTTTATCTTCTTAATTAATAAACCAGAGATTCTACATATCATCAAAATAAGAAATCTATATCCATTGAAAACAAAAATAATTGCATACTTCAAAATATTGCATTATATTTATTCTCCCAAAATCAATATACAATAGTAAGGAGATCGGTGCAATTACTACTCTATCACAAACTCGTGACTATAAAATAATAAGGAAAAATACAAACAAAATCAAAAGAAAATCTGAGAATTTTTGCTAATCTCAATTTGTCTAATCCTGACCTAAAATCATTAAAATTCACATAATAAGCATAAAAGCATAGCAGTAACTCAAACTCACCAAAACTTTCAACATAAGACGAGAAGAATCAATATGCATACTCAATTCAATTAATAAAATTAATCTCAACAATGATCAATTATCGTTTATAAAACTCGAGATGATTAATAATAAAAGTAGAAAAATCGTTACAATGAATCTAAGAATCAATAACATGCATGAGAATCAATAAATCAATAAAATAATGATATTATAATCATTCAAGTGTTAGTAAAAATAATTACATGCACACATGTATTAATATTATCAGTCTTATCCTCTTACATCCATCATATCAATTATATACAATCAATACTTGCATCCATTCATATATTATTTATGTACACATGTCACTACTCTATTTATCAATGTTGTTTGTATATACATGCATCAATATATAATTCAACAAGACAAGACATCTAGTTTTAATGTGGTGCTTTCATCCTTCATATGTTCCTTCTTCATATTATTATATCATATTAGTATCATTATTATTACATGTGACTTTAAAAAATCATTTAAGATTTATCACCCTCTGTCCGTCGACGTAATTCAGTCATTTAGTACATGCTATCACCATGACAACACCACAAACTATCTTTAAAGGAAAACCTGTCCCACTCTCATATGTAGGATATTATGTTTTAACAGTCAACCCATTTTATAGTGTTGACAACCAATATTTTTTGTTTATGCAAATGTCATAATAAAAATGCAGTATGAAATAGTCAATTATGTTCAATAAAAAAAAAATCTACATAATATCTATAACTTCAAAAAATTATAACTTTACTTCCACTATGTGAAATTCAGTGATGTTACTGTCAAAACGGCCACAATATTCATATCTATTATATGCTAAAAGTTATATGGTAAAAACACGATAAATCAGACGAAATGCATTTTTATCAATTTTGGAGAGAAGAATCCGTGAAATTCAAAATCAATGAAAATTAAAATGACATTTGAGTTACTTACAACGAATAGAAGAAGTCTCCGAACAAAATTAACGGAAGAAAAAGCTCAAAATAATCTTCTCTCTCCTCCCTCTCTCTTCTTTCGTTAGCAAGCCACGACACTATTATTTAGATTTTTCATTTAAAAATAATCATTTCAGAAATACGGGTTATTACAAAAGATATCCCTAACGAACCTTAATCATCCATTAATATAATAAATTACTTTAATTGGGTGAATCACAATAAGTTGTTAATTTGATAAATAATGAGTAAGGATTTAAGTTTTCTTAAAATATTTATATTCCAAAAGTTTATAATAAAAAATACCAATGTTAACATAATGTCTTTGGTTTTTAAACTCTGATAAATGATAATTCCGAGTGATACGTGCACTGGCTTATCCACTACCTTCGACGGCTCCAGCAGCTTTTACAGACCTAGTGAAATCCTGATCGCTCGTTTACTGTAGCTACTTTGATCTCAGCCGTTCTTTTCAAACCACCTCTGTCATCTTCTTCCTATAAGATGTTTACTGTAGCTACAAGCGATATATAGAGAAAATACAATGGCTTTACTCAATACCTTGCATTACTACATCATTTCTTCCTATGCTTTCTAACCTTGTAATGCAGGTGATCGGAGTCGATCTGGACGAAGGACTTCTACATGGTATCAGAGCCTCTTCGGCGTTCACCAGCTGAGTAACCCAAAATGGATTCTCCGACTTCCTCTGTAACTCCTTCTCAAACAGTCGCAATGACTGAACCTCCCATTCCAGCTCAACTTAAGTTCCTTATGATGAATGTAAAAACTGTGCTCAGTACGCAACTCACTGCCGACAATTATCCTATTTGGAAAGCTCAAATCCTTACTCTTTTTTCTTCCGGTGTTCATCTTTCTCAATCCTTATATGCGACGACATTGCTATCTCGAGCTGGTATGAAGGATTGTAAACCGGTGCAAACACCACTTCCAACAAAAATACCTCCACTCCCGGCTGCTGCTGCCTTGTTCCATCAGCCTGAACTGTATCGGCAACTTGTTGGATCATTACAGTACCTCACCATTACAAGACCGGACTTGTCCTTTGCTGTCAATTTTCTTTGCCAGCATATGCACAATCCTTATGTGCTTCATTTTAGCTACTCAAGAGAATTCTGCGGTATTTACGTGGTATGATTTCTCTGGGTCTACCCATCGTCCGTTCTTCGCTTGAGTTACAAGCATACTCCGATTCAGATTGGGCATCTGACTCCACCACTCGCCGTTCCGTCACGGGTTACTGTGCTTTTCTTGGCAACAACCTCGTTTCCTGGTGTGTCAAAAAGCAGACTACAGTTGCCTGATCTTCTACAGAGGCTGAATATAGAGCCTTGGCAACTGCTGCTAGTGATATTATCTGGCTTCGACGATTACTTACCGAATTCCAAATTGAGACCTCGTCTCCCACAAATCTCTTTTGTGACAATGTCTCCTCCATTGCTTTAGCCAACAACTCTGTATTCCATGCGTGTACGAAGCATATAGAGGTTGATTTTCACTACATTCGTGATTGCATCAAGCTAAAGAACATTGCTGTGCATCACATTGCCTCTGTAGACCAGTCTGCTGACATCTTCACAAAGGCGCTGTCGGCCGCCCGTTTCCGCATGCTCTGTACCAAGTTAACACTTCAAGAAGCCACTGTTAACTTGAGGGGAGGTGATAAATGATAATCCCGAGTGATACGTGCACTAGCTTATCCACTACCTTCGACGGCTCCAGCAGCTTTTACAGACCTAGTGAAATCTTGATCGCTCGTTTACTGTAGCTACTTTGATCTCAGCCGTTCTTTTCAAACCACCTATGTCATCTTCTTCCTATAAGATGTTTACTGTAGCTACAAGCGATATACAGAGAAAATACAATGGCTTTACTCAATATCTTGCATTACTACATCATTTCTTCCTATGCTTTCTAACCTTGTAATGCAGGTGATTGGAGTCGATCTGGACGAAGGACTTCTACAAACTCATGATAGATTTGTTAACTTGAGTTACTAATTGAAATAATTTGAGGTGCATATAACATAATAAGTTGGAATTAATTTTTTTTTTTTTTCATTTTTTGTGCAAATAAATTGAGGTTTTCATGTAATGTATGAGTTCGATAAATTTTGTTAGAAATTTATAGTGAAGTCAGGCTATAAATTTATTATTTAATGAGTATTGAAATCAAGATAAGATTAATAAAACAAATATAAATTTTAATGCAAGGGTTGCATGCCAAAGGTTCACGGATTTAGATTAATACTAGATTTTGTCAAAAAAATATCAAATATAAAAAGTCTCAAACATTGATCACAAAATTACTATCAAATGGGCTATCTCCTAGCACAGATCAATATACAACAAAAATCGTTCAATTTGAAGCCCCAATTAAACTAAACCAAGGTGTATCAATCATGATCAAGCCGGTCTAACCATGCTTGGCTTGGGTTGGCTCTCTTCTTTCTTACATGTAGTTTCATGTGTGTGAGAAAGTGAGAGATTATTGCGTCAGGTCACCGGACACAGACTTACGTCTGGTATTCGCATTACTGAGCTCGATACTGAGTAACGAGCAGTATTGAGCAGTACCGAGCTCGGTACTGTTTGGTACTGTTCAGTACCGAGCTCAATACCGAGTAGGAGGTGATGTGACGCATTTTCATTGATCTCCGAACACGTCCGGTAACTTGACGCAATAATTTCCCGTGAGAAAGTAGGGGAGTTTGATATTGTCAATTCCCTCATTAGGCACTCATTTGCTTATTCTTGAAGAGGAATATTATACAAATATAAGATGATGACATTTCATCTCAATTTTTTTGTTTGGCCCCAAATTTGATGATGAACATAATTGTTCTTAAATTATATTGATATAAAAATGACATTATATCATCAAAATTTTATTTTGGCCTGCAATTTGAGAAGCAAAACTTTTTTGAGTTATTTACATCATTTTAACCTTCATATTTTTAGCTTATAAAATTTGATTGGATCAATGCTATCCAGATTTACGT